CCCACCCTCCGGTGCCTCAATATCTTCCACTACGGAGCCCAAACCACCGCCACATATCCTCTCTCCCCCACCGCCTCCAGGAATCCTTCCGGCAGCGCTTCCGTTGGACGTTTCGCTTCCCCTTCCGAAAACCTCAGAACCCTTATGAAATTCAGCCCTTTCGTCGCCAGAATCAGCAGAGCCTGACCTAGTTCCTCCCTCTCCCTGCCGATAGATACGACTCACTCCCGAATGAAATGTACACCACGACCGTCGAGGGATCTTTTTCGTTCAGCCATTTCACCACTTTATTGTCGGAGTCGGAGTCATCTTGCACGAGCGGGCCGACGGGGACGACCTCCTTCCCGATGAACTCTGAGACCCGGTCAATGTACTCTGCTTCGATCTCTCTGAAACTCTTGACCAGTAGCATTCCAGAGGACTGCTGCAGGGACCAGAAAATGCGGTCCTTGAAGCTCGCGTCTCGTTGAGTGTCGTAATCGAACATGTAATTGGACCGGAGAGGGAAAACCACTTCGAATCTGCCGGAATTTTTTCATGGAGGTGAAGGGTAGAGCGGTGGAGAAGGCAGCGTTGGTTATGAACAGAAGAAAGCTTGGTTAGACTCAAGCTTCCTGAGTCGCAGATGTGGAATAAGAGAAGGTGGTGGTGCTCCGTGACGTTGAGCGGAATTATAATTATAATTTTTAGGTTTTGTTCTTTTTATAATTTACGATGATAATGATGTGGAAATTATAAAAGAGTAAATTTTTTTTAATTGCCACGTCACTTATTTAACGGTCATTTTTTAGAGTTGACTGCCACGTTAGATAAAGTTAACAAAGACTAACGGAGAGTGACCAAACTTTAACTGTTGAACTAATCTTAGTGACCATGAATGGAATAAACTAATTCTAGTGGCAAACGTGAAATTTTTTAGTAATTCCAGTGACCAAACTTGCAATTTACCCATTAATTTTTTGTGTCTCTCTCCCTTTTCATCGATTTTTCTACCTTGTACAGCTTCCAAGAATGGACGGTTGGACCAGTTGGGCCGAATTATGTGGGCTATTTTTGTAGACTTTTTTGTTATAGACCGGGCTAGAAAGTAGAAACCCATATATGTAACATAAATGGACAATAAGGAGTTTTGATGAATTTTCTTTGCATTTTGTACACTCAAACCCAATGTACGATTATCTAAAACGACCACAGCCCAAGAAAGTCGAATCAAGAAGAATGTACGAGATGTACTCGTGTTTTGATTTTTCTATTGAAATTTCAGCTACTTGTTGAAAAATTCATTCTTGATGAAATTATTTGTTTTAAATAATCAGGAAAAAATGGGTGGCAACAGTATTTGCATGAAATGTTTTACTACTCTATCAACCAATTGTGTAGAGAAAACTTAAAGCATTTTGTGATTTTGATAAAATTAATAATTTAAAGTTTTCATCCAATGTTTAATGGATATTAACAATAATTTGTATTTCAATCTCCAATATCTAATGGATATTACACATAAGTGCGAGGTGAGAGATTTATCAATCTGCAATCCACCCGCATCAATCACCCACTGCTTGCGGGTCGGGTTATTTGTGAGTGAATCGATATCAATCGGCGGGTTAACCACCCACGTACCTACCCCTAGCTGAAACCCAAGCTGGAAATGACGGCCCAGATTGTCAACCATAAACCAAAATGGTGCCAAAGGCACCATTTTTAGGAAGGTCAAGATCAACTCGGATTTACTTTGATATTCCTTCCTTGGAGGCTAAGTTGAAAATATTTTGGAGATATGCGAGCAAAAGAATTTCCACCTTACAAAATCTGTCAGAAAAACCTTATGAGAATGACTATAAATAGACCCCCTTGAGCACCAATTGAACACATATCTTCATTCAAGTTGACGGTCACACTAATTAGGCCAAACTTGTCTAATTATTTTAAAAAATTGGCTCAAAGTAGTCTTATTATTATTATTATTATTATTATTATTATTATTATTATTATTATTATTAAGTTTAGGCCAAACCAAACTATTGTTTTTTACTATGGTAAAAGTGACAATCACAAACTTTTTTGGTCAACCGAAGTTAAGAGGTGAAAAAAGGATGAGCTTAGTTGCGAAGAATGAGAATGTTGAGAAGAGTTAGGGTTGTCCATTCCATTGATGGGTGTCATATTTTGGAGTGGAGGGTGAAAAAGGAGGAATGCTATCCAACCAGCACATTATTGAACACGACACGACAGGACAGTAGCAATTTTTCCCCAATCAATCCCACCGCTGATGGTGCCACAAAGCATCCACATTTTCAACAGTTGAGAATCAATGGTCGAAAACGATGTTAATTAACTCACTAACATAACATAAACAGTCGGCCGTCAACACTCTTTTGGATTGCTTGGGTTGGGTTATTGCTCTTACGAATTTGAAGAGGGGAGATGTACGTACTGTCTGTAACTGTAATCTCACCCGCCCGCGTAGGTCAAAGACAGCTAGCTACAAATACAATTGCAATCGACGACAAACAAAGAGAAATCAACGAGGAACCGCCACAAAGGCCAAAGACAACCGTCCGTCCCCGTCCCCGTCCCCGTCCCTCATATTGGCTTTACCACATTCCATTCCAGTTTCCACCACCTATTCTGTCTACTCACCTCACCTCATCAATGTCTAAATGTGTCTATGGACTGAGGGGACTGCAACACTTACACTTGCCTTCCTATTGTTGCATTTTTTCTTATATCATCAGAGACTATTTCTATCATTCAGGATGATAGACTTAAAAGAGAATGATTCAACAACTTTGGAACCCATCCCTTAAAAGAAAACACTTAAATCCACATCCACTCTTCAACACTATGGGGTCGTTTGGATGTGAAATTTTTTAAAATATTGGAATTTTTCTGAATTTCCATGTTTTACAAAATCAAGAAATTGATTTGTGGAAAAAAATTCACGTTTGGGTAGGGTTTAGTTTTGTGGGAATTGATGGTGTGGAATTTGAAAAAAGAAGTAAGAAAACGTGGTAATGTCAAATTACTAGAGGGAGGTGTAGTATTCTCAATTACCATGAATGTGGTAATTGAAGGCAATTTCCATGGTCCAATTCCCATGCCATTTTTGCACTCCCAAACCTGGGTTTTTAACTCAATTATTGCATTATGTGATAATTGGGTCCAATTACTGCATTACATTTCCACATCCAAACGACCCCTACTTGTTGCAATTAGAATCAACATCACTAGAGATTTTGATTGTAACAAGAAAAGTTCAAAATGAACTTCTATTAGACGTGAACTTTAAGAAGAAACAAACAATTATAGATTCATATTTTTTATATATATCATACTAGTAATAGCATAAATTTTCTTATTTAACTTATTTTTATGAATATTGACTTATAGAATTAAAAATACATGAATTTTGTTTAGGTTGGTTCTAAAAAATTGTATATATATTAAATTTGTTTACATTTAAGAAATTATTAATTTATAAAATTTTATGGTATGTGACGAAAACACTACTTTTTAATATTAAATTACTCGCAAAAGTTCACCGACCTGACCTCTCAATCAATGGAATAGAATGAGAAGTAGTAATATAAGTATAACTTTTGTTTTCTACGAGTTCCAATATACGTATTCTGATCAACCCCTGGAGTGGAAACTACTTTTTTCCAACAATGCGTTGAAAAAAGGAAGGGACTGGTGGTGGTTGGGTTTAGACTTTAGAAAATCATCGCACTTCACATGCTGATGCTGTGCTCCCTTCCCTTTTGTTTTGTCATTTGTGCACTAGTTTAGAGGTCCAGAGGACCACCGTCCCTCCTCCCGTTTGTCGTATCCCCATCATTTTGTTGTCACTATTTCCCCTTTCTTCTCCTTCCCCACCATCTTGTTCTTGTCTCCCTCTTTAACCAAACACTCTCTTTTCTTCCCCACCAACTTGTCTATAAAGTCACCCCAAGATATTTTTTTTTTAGCTCACAGAGCATTCATTGCATTTGTGGATGTTTTTTTCATAGTGAGACATTGATTTTACTATTGTGCTCACGGTATGTGGTTGAGGCTGAGGTTGTACAATTGTCAAGTGTGCAACTCGCAATTCAATTACTGGATGCTTTGTGAGCATGTTTCATGCAACTCTTGCAAGTATGTTACCACATATGTCCTATGAACACCATAGTCGAGTTTATAAGAGCTCACCTAGCATTAAGTTGGAAATCCACGTGGGCAAACGAGTTGGGTTTGCGGCAGTATTTTCCCCCCTTTCTTTTTGGCTAACAAGAGCTCACGTAACATTGCGTTTGATAATATTTCGAGTCGGCAAGTATGTTCCAAACTCATTGGAGCATACATGTTGTTTAGAGTCCTGTTGGTGGCCATCAATAAATTTTTCTTTGAATGATGAACTGTAGTCCCACTCGACGATATTAATAAAAAACAACATTGTGTTCAGGGATGTCGCAATTCCATGGCCACGAGTCCCAGTTAACAAGCTTATGAAAGCAAACGAGTTGAATTACAAATCTGCTGGTGGACATTGATAAATTTCTTTTTGAATAATAGTAGGGTTTACTCTCAAATACTATATCAAGGCTTTCAAGAGAGGTCCTACACTCTAGTTTTTTAAGTTTTACCCTACTTTCTTCAATCACACTATGGTCAAAAGTGAACTCATTTTCACTAATTGAGCTAGGCATATCACATATGGAATATGTACATTGTAATAGCAATTGAAGCATGGAGGAGCAGATTGGTAAAGGATTTGATGCCATCAAGCTAAGCCAGCTAGACACAGCTTTTTGTGGGGGCACTGCCCATAATCCTAAAAAGGTGATCAAGTATCTAACCATCCACCATCAAGTTCACTTTTAACCTATATGCAATTATCTTAATCTGAAGTAATTAAGTAACAAAAGTTAAGACCTCGACCCATTCTGTATCCTGGATTAAGGGGTACCGATGATGCAGAAATTTGAATATACAAATACAACCAAAGAAAGCTTTAAAGCCCCAATAATGGTGAACAAAGCAAAGAAGAAGACGAAGAGAGAGAGAAGATGAAATGAAAAGCCCCATCCACCACAGAATAATAGTAGAAAACTATCTTTGGCCCTCAACCCTAGATTTCCTTCCCCTTTATATCTTCACAAATCCATTAGAACCACTGCAGCACAACAACCCCAAACAAAGCAAGAAAATGCAGAACCTCCATGGCTTACTCTGTTTCTTCCTCGTGTCTGCAATGGCATATCCATGGAGGAGCCAAGCCCAAGAAGCCGCCGGCCTAGGATTCAGGCAAGCCAAGAATTACGAGGGTTCCTCCGACCTTGTAAATGTGCAGTATCACATGGGTCCTGTGTTGGCATCCCCTGTTGTCAATCTCTACATCATCTGGTACGGCCAATGGAGCCGAACCCAGCAAGCCACCGTCAGAGATTTCGTCCACTCCATCTCCGTTCCGTCTCTTCCGCACCCTTCCGTCTCTGACTGGTGGCAGACGGTGCGCCTCTACGCCGACCAGACGGGATCTAACATCACCGGGAAAATCAACCTCGCCGGCGAATTCCACGACGCCGGCTACTCCCACGGCAGGGTCCTGGCCCGCACGACGATGCAATCCATCATCAAGTCCGCCGCCGGCAGGGGGATGCCGCTCGACCCTCGGGACGGGGCCTACCTCGTGCTCACGTCCGGTGACGTTTCGGTTCAGGAATTTTGTCGAGCAGTTTGTGGGTTCCATTACTTCACTTTCCCGACCGTCGTCGGCGCCATCGTGCCGTACGCTTGGGTCGGTTACAGCGGGACCCAGTGCCCCGGGATGTGCGCTTACCCGTTCGCCTGGCCCACTTACTCCGGGAAGCCGCCGCCGGGCGGGTCGAGCGGAGGAGGGAACAACCTAATGAAGCCCCCCAATGGGGATGCTGGAATGGACGGGATGATCAGCGTCATTGCTCACGAGCTGGCGGAAATGTCGAGCAACCCGCTCGTCAACGCCTGGTATGCTGGGGATGACCCTATGAATCCGACGGAGATCGCGGACTTGTGCCTGGGAATCTACGGTACCGGCGCCGGAGGAGGGTACGTTGGGCAAGTGATGAAGGACACCTGGGGAGATGGGTACAATGTGAATGGGGTGAAGGGGAGGAAGTTCTTGGTGCAGTGGGTGTGGAACCCTTCCAGGAGAAGGTGCTTTGGCCCAAATGCCATGGATTAGGAAGCTCCATCAATGGCGGTCATGATCTCAATGGTTGCTGTGAATGATGTTTGCTTCTTTTCCTCTTAGTAGTGTAGACAGAAATGCTTTCCAAGTAGAAATGGCAGAGTGATGCTGTTATAGGCATGACATTCCTGTTAGAAGAACAAGATGGAGAAGAGGAAGAAGAAGAAGCATTGAGGGTTTGGTCAACGGAAGCTTCATATTCATGAATGTTGTAGAGAAACCTGAAATTCTCAACAGAGTTCTATTCTATTGTATAACAAGCCCACCTTCCTTCTTACTACAGCATTCCAAGGCTCTATCTCATTATCATTTTATACAACAGAAAAAATATCATTTGTTTCAAGATCCTTGAAGAAAAAAAATGGAGGTTTTGCTAACAATTTGAAGCTAAGGGGCAAAAATTATACAAGCCACCCTCCCAGCAACTTCCCAGTCTTTTCAAAGCATGAAAGTGACCCCTTTGCGCTTCGATCGTCTGTTTCGGGAAGTAAGATGCTGTAGTTCTTGTCTGTGTTCTTTGGTCAGTTTGGATTTGGGAAATTCATATCACAACACATCAGAGCAGCGTATGCAAGGGTGGTTGATAAGCCGAGCTGCAAGGCTGTCGGATTCTGGAATGAGAGTAGAAGTCATGCTGTTCCAGAAATGCATAGTTAACGACTGTCGCGTGATCCTTGTGAAAAGAGCATCTTGTTCAGCTCTCTCGTTTTCGGACGCAGGAGTTGCAAAGTAGCTGTTTCGGAAGTTGAAAAAGAATGCATCAGCCATCAGCAGTGAATGAAACTGCGGGATACAAACTGATTTATTGGAAGGTACACAATGCTGTGTAAACTGTTGATGGGCTATTGTTCTCAGGCCATCAAAGCCATAGTTCTCTCAACATGTAACTTTCAGCAATCGCATATCCCAGTTCAGGTAGCTTCTAAGCTAAAGAGATGAGCAAAGAAAATAGCCAATTCAGAGAGGGGCAGTCTAGAAGTATTACCTTGTAATATCCTGTGAACTGATAGGAAAGAATACGTAAGAGGGCTGCACATTCAGTTCCTGCTGGCTAATGGGTGAATTCTGTTTCAAGGAATTCCTCCAGACTCTAGTCAAAAGTTCAGCTCCATTCCATCTCAATTTGGTGTCATCATACGTCATATAAAACTCCTTCAAACACTCCTCCAAGAATCGACTGCAATGAGAGGATGACCTTGAAACTCAGAAACAGGCTCAAACACAAGCATAGGGCACATGGCCCCAGTGCAGACAATTACCAATACCTGTTCTGTCTAAATGCCATCACAGCCCCATTCAGAGAACTTCCTGTACGCTCATCTTCCATGCCGATGGTGTCATTGAGTGAATGCAACGGATTCATAACTACAATGTCAGAGTCAAGATAGATGCCTCCGTATCTGCATTGTCCATAATGACATAATGTAGAGTGTATGCGGGTTCAACTTCAAAACTAGCTTTCGCTCAGAGTTCAAATATAGTGATGGGTGAAGAGCACCACTCAAATAAATTCAATGGAGCCCAGAATCATATAGATTACACAGTAAGAAAGAACATCAATTGGTTCACAGGCATGCCGAAGAAAGCTTTACCTATACAGCACTGCCAGTCTCACAAGCTCACTGTAATGAGTGGGATAGAACTTGGTCTTTCTCCAATCGGACCAAACCGAAGCAAATATATAGGTTGGTGTGTCCTTGAGCAATTCATCAAGATTTGGCATAGCAACAGCAATCTTGTACCTGCAGAGAGCAACATAACAACGAGGTTAGATAACAAATCTCTACATTACATATCAACCTTTGTTCCATCCACAAAGGCTTTACTTTTATCACTCACCCATCTTTCACAAAGCTGTTTTTGAAGAAGTCCAGCTCAATTGTCTCAGATAACACCAAAACACAAGCATCCCTATGGTGAGAGAGAAGACTCTCCAGTCCCCTCTGGTGTCTAACACTGTACATCCAAGGCGGGGAGTTCCAAACCATAAACACTCTCAACTCACACTTGCCCTTTCTGAAAAAGGAATCCACAAAGTCAGAAAACGATAAGTGAGGATGTAAACCAGGGTAATAACCCCATCGCTTCCCATCTGCAAACAGGTGATTCAATTCTTCAGATACCCTACTTTGAACTCTATCCTCCGTTTTTCTAATCTCACTGCCACCTTCACTCCCATCGGACGATTTTCCAGATGCATTAGAATGTCTCTCCCCTCTCTCATTTTCCAATTTCACAGAAGATGATCCATTCTTCAAACTGATATCCTCCTTCACATCACTTCTTCCATCCCTGTTAATCAAATTATCGACTTCTTTCCTATCAACATTGTCAATGATTTTCCCATTCAAATCGCCACTTCCATCATCGTCGAGAGCCCTTCTTTCTGGTCGCTTGCCATCAGTCCTGCCTTTGAAGTCATTCTTGGTCTCCATTTTCTCCTCAGTAGTTCCTTCCGAGACACTCAAAGGCTTCTTCGAGGGAAATGGAGACCGTTTGTACTCATGCAACAGAAGCTTCATCAATGCCTTGTCCCCTCGCGTCAACCCAGTAATCCCAATCCCATCAGGATCCTGCAAAAGTGGATTGTGCAAAGGATTCAAAACCTCCAAGTTGGATTTGAACATCCTGTCCCTCCTCAAGAAATCCCCCTTCTTCTCGAACCAATTACCCCAACCTTCCCTCAAAGGCGAAACCCTCTTCCCAATCTTCAACAGCAGCGCATCTTCAATCCCCCGAACCTCCGTCACTTTCCTCCTCACCTCCTCGTCGATCGGGACATCGTCGCTCCCAATCGCCATCTTGCTCTCATCCTCAGCACCCAGCGCTGCCGCGAAGGCGCCGTAGTCGCCGTCCCACTCGTCGATCGAGCGTCGGTGGAAAGCCCAGCGAATGGATCCAGTAACGTGGTCGACGTAATATCCCGATGTGGAAATGGTGGGCTTGCTTCGAGATTGGGCTTGCTCGCCGTCCTGTTCATCTTCGTTGACGGCGGCCGCGGTGTCGGTCTGGTCCTCCAGGTTGTCGAACTCGTCGATCTTGTCCGGGGCATCGTCTCCCGGATTGCTGTTGTTGTCGTCGCTGGAGTCGGAAATCAGGGGGTTCGCGCGGATAATGGAGGCGGAATCGGCGTTGCTGCGGCGGCGAGGGGAGGAGATTCGGGGGTAGAGACGGTGGCGGTGTCGGCCGATTGGGGGCGAAGAGGAAGAGAGGCGGGAGTAGAGGAGAGAAACGGAGAGGAGGAGAAGGAGAGCGGAGGCTAGGGCGCAGATTTGGGCTCCGTAGCGGGGCCGCCGTCGAGAGCGAAGATTCCGCAGCATTGTTTGCCGTTTTACGGAAGAACGGAGTGACTGAACATTGACAGGTGATTGGAAGGAAGTGAGATCGCAGCTTTCAAGTTTGGGTAGAAACTTGCCGCCGGTTAACTCTCTGGCTCTCACATTTTTCAGGAAAAGAAAATTTTGTATTTAAATCGGTCGAATAAAGTACGGAGTATACGTATAATAATTAATAAATTTCTTTTTTCATCGCCTGTCCGAACACCTAAGTTTGGATGAGTAATTTTGATAACGAGGGATTTGGTTTAAAATCTCTCATTTAAAATCCCAGGTAATTTACATGAGAGATTTGGCCCAAATAACTTGTTTGGATATTATTAAGGGTTTTTAATAGTGAAATCAAAATTACAAATGTGCCCATAAATCCCACTTCCTCCTTCTTCCTTGGCCAAACCGAGCAACCCTCTCTTCCTCTCTGCTTCATCCAATCTCCATCCAATTGATCCAATCTTTGTCGATTTTCCATATTCAACCTATCACTCTCCGCCAATTTCCATCCAATTGAGTGTTGTTGTAGCAATTTCAATATGAAGTCCAGACCTCCTTCCACAGTTCGCAACTCTTCCATCTTCACAAGGCTAGGTTCCATCTTCCATTGCTTCTTCTTCCATCAGCGCAATCGCAGTATCTAGGACCATATTCGTTTTCATCGAGATGCGGCGGGGTTGGCGAGTAACCCAGAAACCGGCGACGGAAATTGACCCAAAATCCACCAACCACTTATCTACCCATCGACGGGAATGAACAGAAGTGGCGAGAGAAGTTGAGTTGTGGGCTTCGGATTCGATTCGAACAGGAGTCGACACAAAATCTCCGTCGGCGAACAGATTCATGGCCCCAAAAACCTCCGTCGCTCTTCTCGTCGTCTTCTTCCTTACAAACCTAGTTACGCAGAACATGCAATCTCCCCATCGATAAAACCCCATCTCTGCATCATCGCCGATGGCGCTTGCTTGAGCAGCTACCTTTTTCGGTTGCGGGGAAGGAAGGCACATCCTCTTGACGGTGGTGACCAAGAAGCACCCCTATTATTCCCATTTACAGACGGAGGTGTAGAATTCACTTTCTGAAAGTTAAATAAAAAATCCATTGCCATAGAAAAGAAGTTTGCCCCCAACCCCAAAAGAGAGCAATTCTCAAACACCTTCTTATTACGTCCGTACCTGGCCGCCCAACACAACATGGCAACATTCGCCAACTCATCATCCTTAGGGAGTTAATTAAACTGGCCCAATTCCAAGTCCAACCGACTAAACCTCACTCGACCGATAGAGGGAGAATCCTAGCTTCTACTCGATGTAGCAGTCGATTGAATTTCGCCGGATCAGAGGCCAGAAGAATGATTGAAGAGAAGAAGAATGAATTAAACGAAATCCCGCCGTAATCTTATCCTTGGTCGTCGGAGGAGATCAGAGATTATCTCACTATTGATGTCGGTTGAGGATGGTCGGAGAAAAGAAAGAAGAAGTCGGAATAATAAGTTGAAGATGATCTGAGAAGAGGAATAACACCGATGAAGGAGGGTAGGCTTTGAAAAAATGCAATAAAAAATGAGGGATTGTGAAATAGCTGGTCCCCATCAGCTATTTTAAAAACCTGCATATGAGAGATTTTGAAATCTCTAATCCTAACAATCTCTCATCTTTCCAAACGCATAATTGTATTAAAATCCTGCATAACGATGGATTGTTTTAAAATTCCTCACAAATCACTCACTAGAAACCTAGATCCAAACGACCCCTAAGTGATTTTTTTTTTCACTTTAATGATCTTTTTATTTAAGATGTTTTAACTCATATTTAAATTTAAATGATGACTTTACCAAAAAAAAAAATGAAATGATGATACAAATAATATTTCATAAAAATGTAATTCTTTTTTTATGAAAATGGACTCCAGACTAGGGCTGTCAAAATTGAACCCGACCCGATTAACCCACCTGACCCACAACCCGTCTGTAATCCAATTTGACAAAAAGTCAACCACCCGAAGCCCGCCCGTAACCCGAAACCAATTGACCCGTAATCCGATCAATCCATAACTCGATGAACTCGTTATCCGATCCAGCCCATAACCCGACCCATCTATAACCCGAATGATTCATAACCTAAATAACCCGTAGCCGAACCGAACCCAACTTGAATAACCCGAATACCCATTTGACCCGAATGCTTGTACAAAAATTCAATGTATACATTATTGTATTTTAAAATTTACCAAGAAAGAACTGATGTTCTCATAATAATTGAAAATTATTTATAGAATTGATGGTATTAATTGAGGTTTTTTCTTAAATATTTAAATTTTTAAAATAATAATATGTGAAATATCTTTTCATTCATTTTTTATTTTAATTCAAAGGATAAATTTTTGAAGATAATAGGAAGAGTTAGACACAAATTCGTATCTCTACCGCCCATAACTATATTAAAAAAACAACCCTTGAAAATCAATGAAACCCTAAAATCAAAGATCCCTATCAAGATATATAAGTGGATAGTTTACCCTTTTTACTTCATTCTCAACTTTTTACTGATTTTATTTACTTTTTATAAATTAATAAATCGACGATTCGAACTAGATGATAATATCATATTTGAGCGAACCGTTGTTCAACCCATGAGTTTTAGGATGAGATGTTACCGTGAATATATAAAAAATTGTGAAGATATATAAGTGGGTGATTCAGAATGATGTTCATAAGTCTTAGTGGAAATGAAGAGACACACATCTAGTCCATACTATATTTAATTAAGACGATTCATTTTGAGATGTATAAGCATATAGTCTATCTTTTTTTTACTTCATTCTCAAATTTTTACTAATTCAATTTTTTTATAAATTAATAAAATAAGTGAAGTTACAATCTCTCGTCATAAACAAAAAAATTATAACCAACAACAAAGCTTTTATATACACTATTTTATTCATATTTAGTTTTTATACTAACATAATGGATATATAATTTGCATGTGTAAAATATTATCATTTTCTTAAATTTTGTATCATTACCTACAATTTATATTCATATATTGATAGTTTGTAAGACATTATTTTCTGTCAAGAAGTAAATGATCCAATGGGTTGACCCAAATAACCTATAATCCGACCTGACCGAACCTGAATTAACCCGCAATCCAATAAACCCGTAGTTTGATGCACCCGTAACCCGACCCGATCCGTAACCCAATTGACCAGTGACCTGATTAACTCGTAACCCAATTGACCTGCAACCCAATTAAACCTGATCCAAATTGAAACTGACCCGATTGAAATCGCAATCCGATTGAACCGAACCCGATTAGACTCAATCCGAATCCGATCCAACCCGCCCAATTGACACCTCTACCCCGGACTCCAGAGGGATACTCTATTATACATAAACTAATAAGATAATTTACAGCCTAAAGAATGAATAACATGCAAATCTAAAGATGCCACCTATTTTTTATAGGCAAGTAAAACAACAACAAAGTTCTCCTCTTGAAAAAAAAAAAAAAATGGACCAGGATTACAATTCCGTCCAACAATAGAATAGATGTAGCTTGGATATAAGTGGTTGAAAATGTTGAATCAAGTGAACTAGTGAAGGGATATAGTAAAGCTTGTATGTGAATGTGAAACCATGTTCTTGACCCCTCAATTACCATATAAAACTGAGGGGATTCACATAAGCTGCTCAACTCTAGTGATGATTACACATCCAAGATGGACCCTAAATGGCTTGATGAATTGGGCATCCTCCCATTTTACTACGACGCCTACAAAGGTTGAATTTGGAAAGCGATAGACATAGTCATCGGTGTAAACACTAACCCACTCCATGGGTGGAGCCTCCAAGTAGATCCAATATTGTTCTCTCTGTCTATTAAGCCCCTTAGGCCTTATCCTATGTTCTTGCTCATCAGCTACATGAATCTAGTGACACAATATGCTAATCGAATGACAAATTTTCACCGAGCTCAAGTCACTTAGAGTTAACTTAGAGTAGCTTGAAGTTGGTAACACTAGCTTGAAGTAGATGAAAGTGGTTAAGTGGTGGGGCATAAGCAAATTCAAAATTCAAATTAAGGAGAATACTTGCATAATTCAAATACCAATAGATTCCTTCAAGTAGATAAGTTAGTTATTTCTTGCATAGGATGAATACTTGTAACTTTGGCAAGAAGTAAGAATGTAGACTTTTCAAGTGACTTCAAGTAGATAAGTTAGTTATTTCTTGCATAGGATGAATACTTGTAACTTTGGCAAGAAGTAAGAAGGTAGACTTTTCAAGTGAACAACTCGTTACTTCCTTGGTTGTTAGTTTTGCACTCGAGAAGTCTATAAAAGCCACTCACATGTGTGAAAATTTTAGACACACCTCTCACAATGTTTTGCCTTCTATCCTTGATAAATGAGAGTTCAAGTCTTCAAGAACATTTACCCAAGTCTTAGTTTCATGCATCATGAAGGCAAGGGATAGGGCAAGATAATACAAATAAGAAGGAGCTAGATTAATGGTGAACAAGTTCAAGGTTTTTGCTTTCATCAAGTTTTATTCCTTTGTGACTTTTACACATTAATTTGCGGGCATCTTCCTCTCCTTCAAGATGTGAACTTTCACATTAAGGTATGTTATTCTAAACTTGTTAAACTTTAAACATAGAAGGACATGTTTCCTAGGGAAGAGTGTAAGCCCAATTCCCGTATGAATCACTAGGGAATAATTGTGGCCCGAGTGTAATTATCACTTAATGGTTTAATATATAAGGTAAGTCATATAATGGTTAGGTTAATGAAAAATGTAATTTTCTAATATATCCTGATGGTGGGTCTATATAAAGAAACCCTAGGATATTGGTCCTCTCTCAACCCATTACGTAGAATTTCTTAGCCGTCATAGAAATCTCTAAACCTAAAACCTAAGGGGTCAAGAGGGAGAAACTCAATTCCGGTGATTACTACTCAAGTCGCCGCCTCCGCTCTCGTCATGGATCGAGGTAGGTTTCCTTGATCTATTACCGATTCGTGAAATCATCTAATTCTAAGATCCATGCTATTGTGATTTCTGTTTACATGTGGTATCAGAGCCTTAGGGTTTATATGAATGGATGATTTTCGATTATGTATTATGCTCGATTAGTCTCCGCTGCGTTTATATCAATCGCTTATGCATGATTAAAGCTTGTTGATGCTTCTGATTGATCATCTTTTTATTCAATTGAGTCCACGAGTTCGAGATTTGTACACAACTGTATTTAACTTCTTTGCGGTTGGTCTTCTGTCTGTCGAGCAATTATTCGCCGTTTATCAAGAACATATATATGTGCAGTGCATGTATGTTTATGCTTACATTATATATTGATATGTTTGTTTCCTCAATTATAATGAATTGCGATGACAATATCTTGCCTTTATTTCCTTTTCAACTAAAAATCATGATAAAAGCAATTAGGGATGATTACAATTGCTTTTGTATATGCGTTCGATTAATTAAGAGTTTGGGAAGGTTGATAAAGCCTTATGTTTGTCTCAATGATGATTAATATTATTTTTCCATTAGTAACAGTATGCAATTGGAGACTCAAGTTTTGGGTCTGCGTATTTCAAAGCATTATTAACAACTGTCTTACCTTAAGTTAAAATTTTACATTTGATATCTACTTTATGATTAATTTGTTAGTCACCAAAGTGGCCAAATTAGAAGGTTTATATATATCAAGTTGAATCAAGTTCAACTGCTAATGTTTATGTGATGCTTTTAAGTTGAAGTTCGTGATTATAAAATATTTTGAATCGCCCAAAGGTTGATAGCTCGTTTTATAATTCATGAACATTATCGTGGTAAATTGATATGCTTGGTTAGATATATTTAGTATATCCAAAGATTGCAAGTATATCTAATTTGAGTATGTCTATCACCAATTATATGATTATTTTGAGCATCAATTACGATTATTTATCGCATATATATTGTTGTTTTGCCCAAAGGTAGCACCAATATATATTTTAT